CATCAAAAATGTTCTTTGACTACTGAAACATATACTTCCAGCGGTTCTAGGCCAATAGACGTTCTTTATGGTTTATTCTGATTATATTAGCGTTTGCGCACAATAATGAATTTATTATTAGAGTTACAAAAATGACTTTTAAATTTGACATGTATGCTCTTTAGTTCCGTTATAGCACGTTTGAGTTTTCTTACATTTGAAACTACTGGATAAAATTTCTGTGTGTTTGATTCCTCATCATAGCATACAAGACATGCGATAATTGACTGACAACTCATAAGTATACAAATAAAAATATGTCATAATCAACCCCATCTCAACGCATCAACTTTGTAATATATCTTTTACAATAATTAGTTTGAAATTTTCGATAACTATAGTCATGTTCTTTCATTTTTAAATGAAAAAAATCCTACAAAATGATTCGCTTTGAGATAACATCAATAGTAACCAAGACTGATAGTTTAGACAAACAAAGTACAATCACAACAATATTCAACCCAGTGTGGGAGTTAAAATTCATTTTTCAAAAGTTAAAAGTTGAGAAAACTGACGAAAAGTTAAAATGGTTATAACAGTGGTTATAACTTTTAAGCGTGGTTGTAATCATCAACTGTTTACAATTATTAATAAAGAATAATTTGTAATTAAAGTATATGAAGCGAAAAAAAATACTAAATTCTTTAGGAAACAGTTTTGAAAAAGCAAGAGTTGTCGATTCACCGATTTTCTCCGCATAGGCATATGAAAAAATTCCGAGTAATAGTCTTCTGTCATTTCTTTCTTCCAGTTTTTATATTAAATAAACCACAATTGAAACTATTATTCAAAAGCTCACTAATAAAATGACTAATCAATAATCGAAAAATTGATTACGTTTAGTCTTATTTGTCGTCAATGGTCCTCACAGAAATAAGTAAGATTAATTCAAAATTTATAAGTTTCGATAAATTACGTTTCAATATTCCGAAAAAAACAGCATTATTATTATTCTTGTGTTGTTTTTATTATTCAGTTTTGCTTCTAAGTATATAGTTTTTTTATTTTTTTTTCTCTATCAGATATATGTGCACAAAGCTTTTATTTCACAACTAGTATAACCTTACATATAGACGAAAGAATGTGATATACTGGACATATATGCCGTTGTTGCTTTCATTATTCTGCCTATTTCGTCACTCTCATTTAGTCGAAACGTAAGTAAACAAAGAAATCGAGGGAGAATGAATAGAGAGAGGTAAATAATACGATCATTCTTTTTTTGTTCTCAGACGGACGATCCTCGATTGGACACAAATATATATATATAAGTCGATAAAATTTACGCAGTTTATATTATTTGCTGCTCACTTTGTCATTTAGATAATCTATCGTGTTTTATAACCATGGTTGAAAGTTATAACTAAAATAACTTTTCGACCGAAAAGTTGATCGGTTATAACTCAAAAGTTATAACTAGAGTTATAACTTCACCATTTTTAACTCCCACACTGATTCAACCGCAACTAGATCATCGCCTTGAAAATTCTATCTTAATAAAATTATTTAATAACATTGAAATAGATCATATTGAAAATTCTATATGAATAAATTTTTTAGATTATATTGAAACACATCGTATTGAAAATTCTTTATCACTAGAGTTTTTCGATTATATTGAAGTTTTCCACATTGAAATACAACACATTGAACAATCTATATCAAGAAAATTGTTGGATTATATCGAAACACGTAAAGTATTTTTAACATTATATATCAATTAACATTTTGATCATACTGGAATTTTTTTATCTTGAAATACAATAGATCTAAAATTAAATATCAATTAAATTGTTGGATTACGTTGAAATACGTACAATACATTTAACATTATATATTAATTAAATCTTTGATCATATTGGAATTTTTTTTTTGATATTGAAATACAACAGATCGAAAAATCTATATCAAGTAAATTGCTGGATTAAATCAAAATACGTAAAGTATGTTTAACATTATACATCAATTAAATTTTTGATCATACTGGAATTTTTTTATATTGAAATACAATAGATTGAAAAATCTATATCAAGAAAATTGTTGGATTCTATCGAAATACGTAAAGTATGTTTAACATTATGTATCGATATAATTCTTCATTAAATTGAAATGCTTTATATTATAATACAGTAGATTTGAAATTGTATAACAAGTAATTTGTTGGATTATGTTGAAATACCTACAATAGATTAAAGATTATATATCAATAAATTTCTTTGATTATATTGAAATTTTTCATATTGAAGTACCATAGATCCAAAATTCTGTATCAAATTGTTGGATTATATTGAAATACAATACATTTAAAATTCAATCATTTGTGTTATCTTAAATATCCTATTGATCCACATGTGAATTATGGAAAGGGGAAACTATTCCAAAGAAGACTTTTTGAAAGCTTTTCATGAATATAAAAATGGTGCTACTTCTTCTGCAGTAACAGTTAAATATAATGTTCCGGGAAGTACAATACGTAATCACAAATCTAATCCAACAATGAAAATTGGTGGTGGACGTCCAACCCTTCTAACAAACGATCAAGAACAAAAGCTAGTAGAATTATTAAAAAATCTTGAAGTTGCTGGCGTTCGTTTAACAAAATTGGTGGTTATGAAACTAGCATCTGAATATGTTCAACTTGTTACTAGTAAGATATCAAAAATATTTTTCTTTAAATAAGCCTATTTTACCAATGAAATAAATATATTAACTAGGTAAATTTGTCGAACTTGGTCGAAAATGGCTAAAAAACTTTTTACAAAGATGGCAAGGTGAACTTAAGGTGATCAGAGAAGAAAAAATTGAAGCATCTCGTCGTAATGGTTTTACTGAAGATGTACGTCGTGGTTGGTTCGAGAAACTCGATCTTATACTTCGTACCAATAATTTAATAACACGACCACATGCTATTTATAATTGTGATGAAACCGGTTTCAGTGACGAAACATCCTGTAAGTGCGAAAGTTCTTACAACATAAAGTATTTTTAAAATGTAAACATATAAAAGTAATATCTATTATTTCCTAGGTGAAATGATAGTCGTTAGTCATGAAACAAAACATGCATATGAACAATCTGGTGGAAGTGGAAAAAATTTTACTACAAGTTTAATTTGTGGTAATGCTGCTGGTGAAATATTACCTCCATTTATCATATATTCAGCAAAAATTCTGAATCCTCAATGGACTTTTGGTGGACCACCTGGTTCTTCATTTGCTGTATCTGATTCCGGATGGATCACAAAGTGTTTATTCTCCGAATGGTTTAATCGGTTTGTTGAACATACAAGAAATGTTTCTAAACCGATACTTTTAATTATGGATAATCATGCTTGTCATATAAGTATTGAAGTTATCGAGGTTGCAAAACAAAATCAAATATTATTATTATTATTACCGCCGTCTTGTACTCATGCTTTGCAACCTCTTGACACTGTCACATTTAGGTATCCTTACATAATTATTTTCTTTTTTTTGTTGCAACTAATATTTCTTCGATTTGTTAAAATTAATATTCACTCAGAAACTTAATACATTTTAATTTTAGTTCTGCTAAACAATCTTGGAAACGTATTGTAACAAATTATTTTCTACGAAGTGGTCGTAAAACTATTCGAAAAATTGATTTACCGTTGTTATTCAACAAATTGTATTCATCAGCATTTATACCTAAACAAGTTGTTGCTGGTTTTTCACGTGCAGGCGTTTGGCCATTCGACTCAAACGCTATGAAGGACAAAGTTGCAAGACAACCATTGGCTACAAAACAGATTAATCAATTATCACAATCGTTAAAGTAATATAATTATTAACATTTGCCAACAGAACATTTAGCGAGCATTGATGCTTTTTCAATTTTTCAGTTCAGCAAATCATTCAACATCTTCAACAACAGCTCTTTTTGATGCTAGTAACATCACTCCTGTTACACTATCGTATACTTCTGCATCATCATCATATTTACATAATCAAAATGTATCATCTATAGTACTCGATTTTGATCATAACATTGAAAATGATTTAAAGTGTATTTCAAATGAAAATAATTCGGTCTTTATACCAATAACAGAACCAAAAAATAATTTATCACTTTCAACAAATCTTGATTCACCTTCCTTATTTGGTCAACTAATGTAAGACTTTTGTCTAAAGATGGCTGAATTGCAATCTTACATTTCATGGATACGATGTTTTCTATTTTCTAGAGGCAACACTCGATTGCAAAATACGAATCCAACTCCACATACGTCGTGTTCGTCGTTCGTGAATCCATTCGATTTACTTCGGTTTGATATTTTTAGCTGATATAAATCAGTATTCTTATTAATTAATGTGTTTTTTTTGTTATAGTTTTCCATCATTTATTTCTAATGCAAGTTTAAATTCAAATTCATTCAATAATTTCGATTTGCCATCAGATGAATTCAACGATTCAGCTTTACCTATCAATACAAAGTAAAAAAATATTTTACGAGAAAATTATTTTGTCACTATGGGTTTTGTGTAAATCAATTATCTATTTTTTAAGTTTGTCGTTCAAACGAATAGGTGAATCAAATGAAAGTTTTTCTAAAGCACCTGTACCTGATGCTGATTCGAATGAAGAAGATGATGGACAACAAATGTAAGGACAACATAAATGCTCAAGAAAGTTTTCTAATTCTTTGTTCTTTTTTTTCTAGTCTTGGATTTGATCCACGCACTTTACCGAAAACATATGGACGATATTCTCGTTATCCAAATGAACATCATCAACAACTCACGTCAATAATTGATTTTGAAAAAGAGAGTAAGAGAAATAATTAGAGAAAAATAATCTTCATTGGTTGATTATCAATTGATTTATTAGATTATGAAGGAAATAGAACATACACAGAGTTAACATCAGTTAATATGCAACGTTCTGATCCACCATCTGAAAACTTCCAACATGATTTATTCAGTTTTGAAAACCAAATGATTAATCCAATACCATCAAGACAATTAAGTCCTTCAAGTGCGGCACGTTCAATATTTACTAATATACTTCAACAACATGCACCTTCTTCTTCTTCATCTTCGAATAGAATCAAACGAACAAGAACGGAAGGGAAATATGGTGAAGAAATTACTTCTAGTAATAGATTAAATGAACTAAAAGAAAAAACAACAACGTTAAATTTGAAGAAACGGTCAATCAAATCAACAAAACAAACTAGTTCAACATCTGTTCTCGCTAGTGGTGCTGATTTAGAAACAACAACGAGAAAAAAACGTAAGATATCAAAACAACACAGTGAAATTATAACTTCATCACAAGCAACACGTGCTATTGCGACTCTTGAAACACCGTCACCAAGTAATGAAGGTTCGAATCAAAATAATACTAGTCCATCTCTTCAAACACAACAACAACATTCTTCCAATAACTAACTACAAGATGCTTATGTTCATTTTATCAGCATTCATTCCGCAATTATAATTATGTATTTTTCTTTGTTTTTTTTCTGATTAGATACTCTTTGTAATTGAATAGTTTGATCGAATATAATTCGTTTATTTTCTTATTTTTTTTTGTGTTCAAACTTTATGAAAAGTTTTTTTTTGTACTTTTTTACTGAATTTGTTCATCTTCTTCATCAACATGTTTTTATTGATATACTGTATCAATTTTTTTTCTAATTAATACTGTGTTAAACTAAAACCAGTCATAGTAGTCAGTTTCTATGTAACTTATAGAATCGTTGTTTATTTGTCATTTTTGAAATAGTAATTGTTTTTGTTATTTTCAGTCTCTATTGATATTTGCCACAATTATAATTGTTCTTGAACTGTTGTATCAACAGTTATCATTCATTTTTTAAAACTACTTGAAAAAAATAAACGAAAATGAGCAGAACAACAATAATGAATTTTTAACTTTATCAAATTCAAGTTTCTTTGAAATTTAAGTT